CTTTTTCTACTGTACTGACACTCCTGTTTGAGATATGATAATGAAATAGGCATATACATTTTTTGGTGGATAAAATAGTACTTTTCAAATGTCAACAACCAAAATATGCCCCAGAGAAAAAGTAAATTATGCTGAGGGGACTAACAAGCTGGAGAATTTGTGTTCTTTAGAGGTTAAATGAAATCAATGACATGTAACTGTGCCCGTTATCATGGATTGAAATGCACAATTCAGTAGAATTCATTTAAAATGTACCAAGATTTATTATCATTCTTTATCTTTAAGATTTACTCAGAAAATTATCTGCAGGTTTTCATTTGCTTTGTGTATAGGCGTTTCCCAACAAATTGAAGTGTTAGTTTTCATGTGAACATGGAAAAACATGCTGTCCTGCTAGAGCCTATACTGGTTATGATATCAACAATGCACTCTGCCAAAGTGACAAGTAAGGAACTATGATAACTGGTATGAATCTAAAGATGATCACTGGGCACATAGTCTGACATGACAGTAAAATTTGCTAAAATGTATTTATGTTAGAACTTTATATTCTAAGATGGTCTACATTTGGCAAAAAAAGAGAGAGAGAAGAAGAAAAAAAGTGTAAATCATGATTTATATCTACTAATCCCCCTAAAAATGAATTTCCCTTGGTTCCCCAAGCTTATTTCATGAAGAAGGATAGTAACTCCAACAATGTTATGAAAAAGGATATCAAAATGATTACATTCATTCTCCTTCAGAATGTTTATTTTAAAACATTAATTTTGAAACTGAGTTTATGTTTTCATAGCACTCTCCAAGAGAGATTTTGGTGATGGTGGAAACATGCTCTCCCTGAGTGCTTTCTAATTCAAAATTCATGTAACATCAGATAAATCCTGTTTTTATATTAATTTTGGCCTTTATTTTAGTTTCTAGAAGAACAAATATTCTCTACATAGATTAAACCGGTTTTCGTGATACACCAAACTCATCTATCTTAATGGATAAATACAATGAATTCTACATAGAGCAAGATCTAAACCTAAGCTACAGATATCAAAAGAAACCATAATTATATTAAAACTGGGAAAGACTCTAACACAAACTTACTCAAAAGAACTTTGCTAAATGTCCCGACCATAGGAATTATGAAACTGCTTTTCATTCGGAAGCATAACGGGGGATCCGTCATATCAGGAAATGGCCATCCATGTCTCAGCTTTAATTCCACTAATTTCTTCTCGGACTCGCATTTCGGGCCTGGTTCCGTGGTCTCAGTGGCATCGGGTGCCATCACGCCGAGTAGGAGCTGGTCAGCTGATACCTGCTGGCACTGCACTGCGGAGGATCAAAACAATCGGCGTTTGTTAGTGGGTGAAATTTTTGTTTTGGACTTAATTTTGTGAAAAGATGCTGTATTTTCTAAAAAATAGAGTTTTCTGAAATATCATGAATAATATATATCATTTTGTTTAGTGATTATATATATTTTTTCTGTGTTGAATGAACAATGAACGGGGTTGTCTGAGAGGAAGGGTGCGTTTGTAGGTGAGTGAATTTCGAAGGTTTGGTAAAATTCGGTGAACAAAATTCTATATATGTTATTCAATCTTTAATTTGACCGTTTTCAGAAAATATCTTAAAACTAGTAGAATTAATTTATTTTAAAAAGTTCCTCGAGTGAGTTTGTTGTTAGTTTTGGTTTTGTATAAATGTATTTCTTGCCGGAAAAATAACAATAATGATAACAATATATGAGGATAACAACAACAATAGCGATGATAATCATTATAAACAACAAACAATGATGAAGATGATAATAATGATAGTAATGATCATGATAAAGATTATTATACCTATTATCATTATCGTTATCGTTATTAGTATTATGATTTTCATTATTATTCATTGCACTGCTGTTGTTGTTTTTATCATTACTGTAATGATAATAAATTATAACAATGATAACGATAGTAATGAAGACAATTATCTTCGTTCTTATTATGTTCATTATCATATTATTAGTGTTATTATTATCATTATTATCGCTATTATTATTATCTCTATTACTATTATATTATCATCATTATTATTGTTATTATTACCATTGGTATTATTATCATCATTGTTATTATTGTTGCTGTTATTCTTATTCCTATTATCCTTATTATATAAATTATTTTATCATTATATAAGTATTATTATTATCATATTAATACTATTGTCATTACTATTATTATCACTGTCTATTATCATTATATTATCTTATATCATCATCATTATCATTATTATTATTACCATTATTATTATTATCATTATCATTTTTATTATTACTACTACTGCTATCATTATTATTATTATCATTGTTATCATTATTGCCATTATTATTACTATTATATTATTATTATTATTATCATTATTATCATTATTATTATAATTATCATCATTATTATCATTAACTTGTTATTATCATTATTATCATTGTTATCATTATTCAAATATCATTACTATTACA